GGAAAGTTGGCCATGATTGACAGTGTAATTGCTGCTCTCTTGACTCAAAGCTAGCCAATTGAGCATTTAATCTAGGACTCGATACAAATAAGGGACATTATATATATATACTAGAACACGCTCTTGGGCGGTATACCGCGCGACTATTCTATAATGTAATGTAGTGAAACATTATTTATTTGAAATATAAACTGTAAAACAAAAATGTAATCGAATTATTTGCGCTCAGGTCGGTGGGTCAGGTCGTTTGGTTTGGTCGGTTGGTCTGGTCGGTTGGTTAGCGGTCGGATAGGCAGGTCGGAAGGTCCTCAGTCGGTTGGTCTGGTCGGTTGGTCCTCGGCCGGATGATCAGGTCGGTTGGTTAGCGAATGGATGGGCAGGTCGGAAGGTCCTCGGTCGGTTGGTCTGGTCGGTTGGTCCTCGGTCGGATGGTTAGCGGTCGGACAGACAGGTCTGATGGTCACCAGATCGGACAGACAGGTCTGATGGTCTGCGGTCGGATAAAGTAGGTCGGCTGGTCTGCGGTCGGATAGGCAAGTCATCTGGTCCGCAGGTGGATAGACAGGTTGCTTGGTGGGTGCGGCCAAGGAGTCTTTTGGTCTAGCGATTGGTCTCTGGATTGGTCGGTTGGGCTATTTGAGTTCTGGAACTGGTGGAGGCGTTTGGCGAGGCGGTTGATGTAACCGACCAGACGACGTTTCAAAATGTTTCGTCTTGGGCGGTTGACGGCGGTTGCTGGCGACGGTTCCAAAACGTCTTTTCAAGCCAGTACAAAGGTAGGGTAAGAGCTAAATTGTCATATTCGAAATGAGGGGCATGATAGACTTTTCAAGTGACAAATCCATACAATCTCGTGTATAACAACATACAAGTTTTAATACCCAAATCAACTAATACATAAGGTCTTGTTACGTACAAAAATAATAATAATAATAATAATGGTAGCAGTGTCTTGAAGGAAGGTAGGACCCGAAGTCGGGTAGAAAAGTAGAAAAATTTGCGCTCAGGTCGGTTGGTCAAGTCGGGAGGTCCTCAAGATGGAAAGTCATCAGGAAGGAAAGTCCTCAAGTCGGTTGGTTAGCGGGTCGGAAAGTTTGTAGGTCTGATGGTCAGTAGGTCGGACAGACAGGATGGTCAGCAGGTCGGACAGACAAGTCGGAAGGTCTGCGGTCGGGTAGTCAGGTCGGTTGGTTAGCGGGTCGGATGGTCCATAGGTCGGAAAGTCTGCAGGTCTGATGGTCAGCAGGTCGGACAGACAGGTCGGATGGTCAGCAGGTCGGACAGATAGGTTTGATGGTCAGCAGGTCGGACAGAGAGGTGCGATGGTCAGCAGGTCGGACAAACAAGTCTGATGGTCTGCGGTCGGATAAAGTAGGTCGGCTGGTCTAGCAATTGGTCTCTTGAATGGTCGGTCGGGCCAGTTGAGTTCTGGAACTGGTGGAAGCGTTTGGCGAGACGGTGCAAGACACGTGTCAATAAAGGAGGAATTAGTGGGCAGTTGATGTAACCGACCAGACGACGTTTCAAAGCGTTTCGTCTTGGGCAGTTGACGGCGGTTGCTGGCGACGGTTCCAAAACGTCTTTTCAAGTAATATTTAAGGATTTAGATTTTTTATTTTCAAGCATCTTCAATCAACTTCAACAAAGCAAAGTCAGATTTGGGGATCACCACTTTAAATTTTCAGCATTTTAATTTTCCAATCAATTTCCTTTTATGTACCGTACAGTGTTTAGAGATTCCTAATCTCAGACGCTAAAAAATCAAATTTAAGGTGTTACGTACAAAAATAATAATAATAATAAAAATAATGGTAGCAGGGTCTTGAACGAAGGTAGGACCCGAAGTCGGGCAGAAAAGTAGAAAAATTTGCGCTCAGGTCGGTTGGTCAGGTCGGGAAGTCCTCAGGTCGGGAGGTCCTCAAGACGGAAAGTGGTCAGGTCGGGAAGTCCTCAGGTCGGGAGTTCCTCAAGACGGAAAGTGGTCAGGTCGGGAAGTCCTCAGGTCGGGAGTTCCTCAAGACGGAAAGTGGTCAGGTCGGGAAGTCCTCAGGTCGGGAGGTCCTCAAGACAGAAAGTGGTCAGGACGGGAAGTCCTTAGGTCGGGAAATCCTCTGGTCGGGAGGTCCTCAAGACGGATAGTGGTCAGGTCGGAAAGTCCTTAGGTCGGGAAGTCCTCAGGTCGGGAGGTCGTCAAGACGAAAAGTGGTCAGGTCGGGAAGTCTGCAGGTCTGATGGTCAACAGGTCGGACAGACGGATGGTCAGCAGGTCGGACAGACAGGTCTGATGGTCAGCAAGTCGGATAAAGTAGGTCGGCTGGTCTAGCAATTGGTCTCTGGAATGGTCGGTCGGGCAAGTTGAGTTTGGGAACTGGTGGAAGCGTTTGGCGAGACGGTGCAAGGCACGTGTCAATAAAGGAGGAATTAGAGATTCCTAATCTCAGGCGCTAATTAATCAAATTTAAGGATATTTTCCATATCTTTGAATTTTACTTTTTGTCTGTTGAAAAAATACATCAACACTTTATTTTCATATTTTATTTTTTATTGTTGAAAAATTGCATCAACAACAATAAAAAATAAAATAGAGGAGAATATAGATGAAATGTTTGAGATAAGAAGGGTGACCCTGCATCTCTTTATGAGTTTTGAAATGTCAAAAATAGCAAGGATATTTTAACTTTGATAATTGTTACGCACAAAAAATAATAATAATAATAATAATAATAATAAGGATAGCAGGATCTTAAAGGAAGATAGACACGAAGTCGGGTGGAAAAGGAAAAAAAAATTGCGTTCAGGTCGGTTAGTCAAGTCGGTTGGTCCTCGGTCGGATGGTCAGGTGCGTTGGTTAGCAGTCAGATAGGCAGGTCGGAAGATCCTCGGTCGGTTGGTCTGGTCGGTTGGTCCTCGGTCTGATGATCAGGTCGGTTGGTTAGCGGTCGGATTGGCAGGTCGGAAGGTCCTCGGTCAGTTGGTATGGTCGGTTGGTCCTCGGTCAGATAGTTAGCGGTCGGACAGACAGGTCTGATGGTCAGCAGGTCGGACAGACAGGTCTGATGGTCTGCGGTCGGATAAAGTAGGTCGGCTGGTCTGCGGTCGGATAGGCAAGTCAGCTGGTCCGCAGGTGGATAGACAGGTCGCTTGGTTGGTGCGGCCAAGAAGTCTTTTGGTGTAGCGATTGGTCTCTGGATTGGTCGGTTGGGCTATTTGAGTTCTGGAACTGGTTGAGGCATTTGGCGAGGCGGTTGATGTAACCGACCAGACGATGTTTCAAAACGTTTCGTCTTGGGCGGTTGACGGTGGTTGCTGGCGACGGTTCCAAAACGTCTTTTCAAGCCAGTACAAAGGTAGATTAAGGGCTAAATTGTCATTTTCGAAATGAGGGGTTGGATAGACTTTTCAAGTGGCAGATCCGTACAATCTCGTCTTTTCAAGCCAGTACAAAGATAGGTTAAGGACTAAATTGTCATTTTCGAAATGAGGGGCAGGATAGACTTTTCAAGTGGCAGATCCGTACAAACTCGTGTTTATAAGATATAATATATGACCAAAATCTTTGAAGTTGCTAAATAAGTAACAATAAAGTTTTTATTACTTTTTTTCCGGTATTATTTTAACTATTTTCGTATATCCAACTCAAAAATATTTTTTTTTAAAATTTAAATAAATGTAATAATATATTAATAATATTAAAATAATTTAAAATTTTTATTTAAATTACAAATATATATCATTATATATACATTTATTTTATACAAAAAAATATATTCAAGTTCTTTTTCTTTTTTAACAAAAATTAAAAACATTCCTCTATTACTCAAAAAATATTCAATATCATAAAAAAAAAAGTCAAAATAACCCTCGTGATCAATGTAGATTTGCTCAAACGGTTCAAACCGCTGATTACAGTTTATCAAAATATCAAATTGAAATCGAATATTTCGAATAACAGTTTCGATTACGGTTCGACCGTTTATAAACCGCCAGTTTATATATATATATATATATATTAATTTTTAATCTTTTTTTTTCTTTTTTATAAATTTATATTTTAATTAAAAATAATTAATTTTAATTTTAATTTTATTTAGATATATTTATTATTTATTTATTTATTATATAAAAATTATATATATAAATAATTAGGTAGATTGTTATAATATAAAAATAATTAAAATAATAAATTTAGTAAATAATTTAAGTAAGTTTTAAATTTAAAAGTACATAGAAATAAATTATAAAAATATTGATGTAATATAAAAATAATTTATATTAAATATAATTATATATTAAAAAAATTCAAAATTTAAAATATAAATAAACAATAATATTATAGTATTATATTTTTTAATATCACTACTAATTATTTATTTTTTTATAAAAATTTTAATTATAAATATATTATTATTGTTATAAAATACACACAATTTGAATATTTACCCTAATCAACATTTACACATTCACGCACCGTAATATCTCTTTCTACCTGTGCTGCCCCGGTGAGAATTTTATTTTTAATTATTTTTAATTTCATTCAATATTATAATTATTAATTTTAGTTTTTTTTATTTTTTTTTATCAATTTTAGTTTCATAATTATTGAGACTAACACGACTCAAAGAGTGACTAGACATCCCAGCCAACACAGCCTTATTAGCCTCGGCCATTAAAATTGATAAACTTTAATTCAAGTATGATCAAAATTAATAGAAAAATTTCAATAGGACCAAAATGAATAATTATGACATTGAATTACACCAAAAATAATTTTTGCTCTTGTTTATTTTTTATTTTTTAAAAAAACCACCGGTTCAAATCATAAATCGGCGGTTCATGGTTTCGGAAATTACAGAACCGGATTCGGTTCGGTTTTACACCCGTGTTTTGGTTTAAACCGTAATCGCCGGTTCGAAAACCTGCAAACCGGGTTCGAACCGACGGTTCGAAACCGAATGGGCAAGTCTAGCTCATCTACGGCCTCTTTTGTAATTCTCGCTGCTGCCATAGCCGCCGGCGCCTTCACACTTCAATCTGCACTGGGCTCTAAACCCTTGACGTGCTCTGGAAATCGATTTTTCAAGACTGATCCTTTTGACGGAAAATTCACAATCAGCTCCAGATCCATACAGATCGACCGGAGCCATGGTTTTGATGTATTTAGCATCGATTTGGTTGTCTCTGACAGCGACCTTAATATTGGCGTTCATCATCAGAATTGCATCCATCGTGCTCTATAACCGGAGAAACCGGAGGAATTCCGTCGGATTCTTTCATCCGTACACGAACGACGGCGGCGGAGGTGAGCGGGTGCTGTGGTGCGCCGTCAAAGCAGTTCAGGAAGCGTTTCCAGATCTTGAATGTGCTGTCTATACAGGGGATCATGAAGCGACGCCTACGTCGCTCAACACTAGGGCAATCGATCGTTTTGGTGTTCGACTTATTCACCCTCCGAAGGTATATACAGCTTGCGTTGTTATCGTAAAGATCTATTATCTTTTCTGCTATGAATTTTTAAGGAGTTTCACTGATTGATGAATTATACAAGTTTGTCTGCAATATTTCGTTAATCATCAAACTTTTGTAGCTCAGTAAGGTGAAATGAAGATGATGTTAACTAATCTATTTGTTTCAGTTTTGGAGCTAAATCCTGAGGTCGAATCTCAAATTTTTAGATTAGATGTAGAATGTTGTTGATGATCCTCTGCTTTGTGTATATATATATATATTGAAATGGTCATTTTGCTTCGTGTTAATTGAATTGCTTGTGAATGGAAATCGAAGGTGTTAGAGTTTAGACAGGATTCAGGATTTTTATGATCCAACTTTTCTAATTTGTTATGCTACTTGGAGTTCTTGTATTGAGCCATTTCTGTTGTATTTTCCATTTCGGTTACAAGTGTTTTCGCCTGTGAGTTTTAGAAACTGTAAAAAACTCGCTTAGTAATCGTTATGGTTATGCTTTCCTTTGTTAGGTAGTGCATCTGCATAAGAGGAAATGGGTTGAAGAAAGTACGTATCCTCGATTCACGATGATTGGCCAGAGTCTAGGTTCAGTGTACCTTTCATGGGAGGCTTTGTGCTTATTTACGCCGGCATATTTTTTTGACACCAGTGGATATGCATTCACGTATCCTGTTGCTCGTATGTGTGGATGTAAAGTTATTTGTTACACTCATTATCCGACAATTAGTTTGGACATGCTATCACGGGTGCAAGCGCGAAGCTCTCTGTATAACAATGATGCTTTGATTGCAAAAAGGTATTGATTTCCGCTTCTCTCATACATTCCATTTCATCACACAGATTTCTAATAATGCTGATTTAATTGCGGAGATATTCTTGTTTCTACGATATTTATTGTGATCTTGATATAAGATGTTTTATCCTATGTACTAATCATGATACAATTATTCAAGTGTATTATATAGCTGTAATTTCTACTAAAGTTACCGATTCACTTTTCATGATTTTTTTGTTTGAACTTTGTTGGTGCCAGCATCTTCTTCTCGCATTGTAAAGTTATCTATTACAAGATTTTCAGCTGGATGTACGGAATTGTAGGCTCTTGTGCGCATCTTGCAATGGTCAATTCTTCATGGACTCAAGCACATATCGAGAAGCTTTGGGGAATCCCTTCTCGTATTAAGAGGGTCTACCCTCCCTGTGATACTTCTGGTCTCCAGGTTTGTATTTAAGAACCTCTCGTACGTACCATGTTTGAAGCTCTCATTTGTGATAAACGTGTGGAGTGAGTTAGGAAGAAGGATTATACGTAGTTTCCTATAATTGGTAGGCGTTTATGAATGGTAGTTTACTATGTTTGATGAGTGTCTCGCTTAGCTGTTTAAAGGCTACGACTGTTTAAAAAGTTCATTCAAAAAACTGTTTTGAGTCTAGAAATTTTGGCGTGGAGTCTAGGAAACAGCATTGTCGTATAATTATATATACTATTTTGCAATCACATTTTTCTCTTTAGTTTGTCCTTCATCCAATTTGGTAAAATTGATGGTGGAAATGTGAAAAACATGGACCAAAACCTGCTTAGGAACTCTGGTGGCATTCATCAGTGTAATAACCGAGGGCAAATGCAGATGAAAGGAAGTGCCAATAACCCTTCTGTTTTACTATGAATATAAGTTGAATTTCATAGCGAGTAAGGGAATCAGGAAATCAGCAATTTTGATGCTAGAAAATTGTGCAATTGTTCATCTTCGGCATACTGAGGACAAAAGGAAGTTATCCTGCATGTTCTTGGCTGTCGATCTCTTTGGTGTCGTTTTCATTTATTTTGCATGCTCTTGGTGTATATGCTGATTGATCACTGAGCTCTAAACAGAAGCTACCCTTGGAAAGATCGGTGGAGCCAATGAAGATAATTTCTGTGGCTCAATTTCGTCCCGAGAAGGTGGGCATTTTGTTTGAGAGGTATCTGTAATTATATATTACTTTTGTTTCATTATCTTCGGATATATAAAGAAATTAAACTTAACCGAATGTTTCCCTTCACAGGCTCACCTGCTTCAACTTGAGGCATTTGCGGTTGCTATTGAGAATCTAGATTCACATCTCCCCCGGCCTAAACTCCAGTTTGTCGGTAGTTGCAGGAATGAAGCAGACGAGAAGCGATTGCTTGTTTTAAAAAGCCGTACGAATGAGCTAAATTTGGGCTGTCACGTTGAGTTTTACAAAAATGTGCCCTACAGGTTAGTGACAATTTTTTTTCGGCTACACATTCCAGAAACTGATACCAAATACACAACCACCTAAATATTTACTTGTTTTTGTGATTTCTTTGCTATCGTGTTCTTCAGTAAGCTGGTGATTCTCTTGGGTGATGCAACGATGGGAATTCATTCCATGACAGACGAGCATTTTGGTATCAGTGTGGTGGAATTCATGGCTGCCGGTGCTATACCAATCGGTTTGATCTTCATACTTTCATCTTCTAATATAATCTTTTAACGAGCGGATTATTTAGATAACCTTGTATTGCCTAAAAATAATCATTACAAAAATTCTAGAGATAAAGGTATATTTAGTCCTGCATTTGATACTCATTATCATTTTAGTCTTTTTAAGTGAAGTTGTATAAAAAAAAGTCTTATATTTAATTCGTAGTCGCTGAAAAGGTTCTCTAGTATCGGAATATTGTCACGTGTGTTGATATGGCACATCCAAAGCTTTACATGGACTAGCCGCATGATAATTTTTAATATCAAATATTGACATGGATTTAATTTTGTGTATTCATTTAAAAATTAAATTCACATCAGAATTTAGTGCTAGAAATTGTTACGTGACTAGGTGTCATGTCAGTATGCGTGACAATATTCCAATACCAAATGATTTTTTCAGCGACTAGAGATTAGATATCGGATCATTTTTATAGAAACATTGCTTAAATAGCCAAAATGACAACGAATGCCACACAAGACTAAAAATATATTTATCCCGAATTTCAAATATGAACATCTATTAGGTGAAAGCTCATTTTCGAAGGTTGTCAACATTATAGGCACGCGATCTTAGCCGTAGTTATTTTTGGGCATGAAAGAATATTTCATTCAGACATTAAACTAACATAAAGAGATTTTATGCAATAAATAAAATATAGGATATTATGTACATTTCTAATAAAATACGAGAGGGTATTTGTAGTCGCTTACTTTTATCATACATTGCCTTGGAGTTCTCTTGATAGCATTCTTTTATACTTTTTCAGCTCACAATTCAGCTGGCCCCAAAATGGACATAGTTTTACCCGAAGATGGAAAGCCAACGGGGTTTCTCGCCCAAACTGTCCAAGAATACGCCGATGCCATTCTTTCGGTTATCAGAATGTCAGATTCGGACCGGCTTGAAATGGCTGCAGCTGCAAGAAAACGAGCTTTACAGTTTTCAGGACAAAGATTCGATCAAGATTTCAAGGCTGCAATCGAACCACTCATGTCGGGTTCTTCTCAATCTCAATGACAAGAAAACTCGGTAATTCTAAACTCCATTTTGTTAACAAATTTACCCTATAGTCGAGTTAGAACATACTTCTCTGACCATAATTTAGGATCAATCCCTTTTATACGACGTAGTTTTGGGCTTTGATGAATCTTGATAACTCGAAATGCATGGCCTGTTTCTTTATTGCATGTAGGATACAAACATAGTCTATTTTCAGAATGACGGTTAGAATACTGATTAGGGTTAATCAACGATAATAACATAACGTAAATTCTGATAGCATGCGGCAATAGTTCATACAGTACATAAACGACACGATTGATCTCATTACATACTCTATGTTAATATAGCACAAATATGTTGTATGAACGACAATATTATTACCATATGGTAATTAACCCTAATTAGCATTGTAATTGGCCTTTTATTTTCAAATATTGTGTTAAGTAGGAGTGGGTATGGTTCGGTTATTTGCAAAGACGCAGGTATTTGGTATTCGAATCGAACCGAATAAATATCCAAAATAATGAACTATATTCGAACTGAAATTTTAGTTTACTGAGAATGTTTTTAGTATTTGTAAATAATTGTAATCGAACCAAACCAAATAAATACCAAATACACAATATTTGTATTCGAATCAAATTTGTTAGGTTAACCAAAAATTCGGTTCGGTTCAGCTGCGGTTCGATTTTTTTGCCCACCCTAGTCTTAAGGGTGTTTTTATTCAAGAGTAATGACTTTAAGGGTGTGTTTGTATTTGTCCTTGCATTTTGTGTTTTATGTTTAAAATGTGAGATATGAAATGATATATTTTTATAGAGAATTATCAGGATTGTATAGTAAATAAAATTAAGGGAAAAAAAGATCAATATTGGCTCCAATCCAATAAAAACTCAATAATTTTTGTCTTAATATAAAAATTTATCAATTTTATTTATTAAAATAATTAATCAATTTTGACCTCATTGTTAAAATAACGAACAGAAAATGCTAATATGGATTAAACGAGGATGAAACACAGTTCGCATAGAAAAGGTCTTACAACTCTTCGGTCCTCGCCCATTCCCCGACATCCTATAAAAACTGCCTGAAATCTCTCCAATCCTTGTTCGACCTTGAAATCAAATATCGGGGCCAAGACAAGTACGTGGCGGGTTAGCCCCGGACTCGGTCTTAATGGGGCGGGTTCGGGTCTAAAAAATTTAGTTCGGAGCAGGTTGTGGATTTTGAGTTTTAGACCCGGTCGTGTTCGGGGTGGGTTACGGGTTTAACTATAAACCCGTCCCACCCCAACCCGAATCCGGATATTTTAATAATTATTATTTTTATACAATAAAATTATACTAGTTATTTATTTAAAAAAATTAAATATAAAATAGAGCCTTAATTCTAAATCAAATTTATATTCGCATTTGTTTCTCCTGCAATTCTCTTTATAGTCGGGATTACTGTTGACCGCCATTACTACAGACGGGTTTGTCGGGACTACTGCTGACCGCCCAAAGGGTTCGGGGTGGGACAGGTCCTGGGGCCGGATTGAAGCGAGGCGGGGCGGATTTTGGATCATAATATCAGAGCGGGTCCCGAAGCCTGCAAAACTCAGTCCCGAATCCGCCCGTTTAACATCCCTATGTCGTACAAGATATCCTCAGAGCAAAGCTCCAGATGGAACATTCCGGCCACTTCGGCGAGACTGGAAAATCCGGACTTACATCGACTGCTAACTATGCCAATACGGCCGTGACATAACAGTGTTTATTTCAGATTAGCTGATTTCGTTAGGTCCAGATTAATATTTTCTTTTGGTTGATTTTTCAAATACAAGATCTGAATTAATTAAAACTTTATGAATTAAAATTGATAATCTTTTTATATAAACTAAAATTGATGGATTTTTATTGCATTGAACCAATATTAATTTTTTTTCATAAAATGAATATATAATATATATATATATATTATAGTACGAGATGATCAGATGAAATTAGCACCATGTTGACTTGACCTTAGCAATATATGTATATATATATAATGGAGAGTTCTCTCGGATGCATTTCGATAATGTGTTTCAGCTTAGGCTTTGTCTTTTAAAACAGATTTAATAGTATTTATCATTTTTTTTTTATAAATCTGTAATATTCAATACATATATTTTTATTTAAATATGTTATATTTTTTTTGTCATCGGGTGAGTGTATATTTTATTATTTTTGTTGTTCAATTACAAAATATCTATATACATATATATATGTATATATATATATATTTTTTATGTATGAACTTCAATATATATTACCAGTAATTCATATTTATATCTATTTAGATAGATACTTTCACATTATATTGTAATGACTTTACAATAAAATAGTCTTTTCAAAAGGTTATTAGTACTCCCTTCACTTAATTGAAGCAAATGACTCTTTTAATTTGGCTATGATATTTAAGGTAATGCAATTTAATTAATTAATTAATAATATATATTATAATTGTTAGATATTAAAATATTTTAGAATTTTATTGGACCTATAGATGGATTAAAAAATGTGGGCCCACAGACAAACTAAAAAGGGGTGAGCTTCCCACACATCAATTAAGGGAATCAATCAACCAGTCGGTAGTCTGTCTCGTCGATTGGTCGGTTGGTAGCATCAGAACAATCAGTAAAGACGGTTCCTCACACGATCCAATAACCGACTTGGAAGGTAAATAATGGGCACCTTGCCAAAAGTCATTTTCAATCCGCATCAATTTCAGAGAAATTCGCGTTGGGATCATCCTTTTCATCTTTCAGTATCTGTTGCTTTTATTTTTCTTATATTCTGTACGGTATTTAGGGATTTACAATTCCAAATATTATTGTAATTAAATTCGAAATTAGTTTTCGAATTTTACTTTTTATTGTTGAAAACAGTATCAACAATAATATTATTTATTATTATTTTTTTTATGTAAGTGGTATGGTATTATTAGTAGTTTTAAAATAAAAATTAATATATATATGATTAAAAAAAATTTTAGAATATATATTTAAATATTTTAAAAGTTATATCACAACAAAATATAAGCAATATATTTATTTATAATTAATATAAACTAATTTTATAAAAAAATAAAAATATTTTAAATCATATATAAAAATATCTATTTATTAAAGAGATAAAAATAAATAAATTTTAAGAGAGTCTTACATAATATATAATATTATATGTTCCGAAGTTAATTAATTTAAATTATATGTATTAAATATATTTTAAATTAGTAAATATTGAAAAATACCATTTGTTACGAGACAAACTGAAATAAAAAATATACATTTATTATATTACGGAAGAAGTACTATTTAAAATATTATATCTAATATTTATTTATTATTTTCACATTGTTCTTAAACTTTAAACTACATCTAGACTCACATGAACAAATTAGTTGCCCATTCATCAATTTAAAGTGAAAGAATTTGGTAGTTTAGATAACACTTCGTTAGATTTAGATTTTAAATAATAAAATTTTAAATTAAATAATTGATTGATGCGATGATATAAATATGTATTAATGTAATATTTGAATATAAATTTAAAATTTAATGTAAGATAAATATATAATAAATAAAATAAATATTTAATTTAATTTTTGTTTAGAGAGAACAAATATATATATATATAATAATAAAATCACGTGTAAAATCTTACTAATTAAAATTACTCTCTCCGTTACGCCCAATTATACCATTTTTCTATTGAGCATGATTATGAAGGAAATGTGTCGTTTGGATCCGTTTTTTGCGGCTGCTTTTGGCTTCTGTTTTTTAAAAAATATTTTGTACCTATTTGTTTTGGCTTATGTCTAAAAGTAGGAGCTTTTAAGGCTAAAAAGTGTTTTTTCAGAAGCACAGTGAACGTAGCTTCTAAAATAAGTAAAAGCACTTTTAAGTTAAAACTATTGTGTTATCCATAATAATAATAATAATAGTAATAATAAATACAATACTATAATATATTATAAAAATAATTAATTTATATATTACTATATTTAAATATATATATAATTATATTATTATTTTTAATTTATTTGTTATACTTGAATTAAAATTTAAAATTATAATTGATATACCAAATTTAAATAGAAATATATAATTTTTTTATACTAAAATTATTAGATCTAATTATAAAAATTTAAAAGAAATTAAAAAATACGAATAATTTAATACTCTCTTAGATTGTAATTTTATTTTTATTTTTAATTTACATATTTTCTTTAAATTAAAATTTTAAAATATATTTTTATACTTTTCTTTAAAATATTTAATAAAATTAATAGAAATTTTAAAAAAATATATATATATATATAAATTTTATAGAAAAAAATACCATATTAACAATAAATCATTTGGAGTAATTTTAACTGTTTAAAAGCAATGTCAACTTTATTACATACAAACAATTTTTTTTTTTTTTTTTTATGAAAAACTATTTTTATAATGTCCAAACACAAAATCTAACTGCTACTTTTGACTTCTGGCTTCTGCTTATTTTTTAAGCCAATTCAAACGAGGCCTAAAAAGACACGTTTGGATTGGCTTCTGAGCTTCTAAAAAAAACAGTTTTTACCTATTTGTATTGACTTCTATCCAAAAGCACAAGCAACTTTTGAAGTAGAAAAATACTTTTTTTTTTTTTCAGAAGCACAGTGGGATAACTTCTGAAATAAGCAGAAGTATTTTTTAGTCCAAATTACTATTTTATCTTTAATAATAATAATAATAATAAGTAAATAAATAATAGTACAATACTATAATATAATATAAAAATAATTAATTTATATATATTATATTTTAATAAAAATTTACAAATATAATTATATTATTATTTTTAATTTATATATTATATTTAGATGAAAATTTAAAATTGAGATACCAAATTGATATATTATAATTTATAAAAATATATTTTTAAAATATAAAAAACGAACAGTATGTTCTTTTGAATAATTTTAATTTTTAAAATATAAATAATGAAATTTTAAAAATATACTTCCTCCGTCATTCAAATTTATTATCATTTTTTTATTGTCATCCAAATTTATTCCTGTTTCTTTTTTTAGTAAAAAAATAACACTTTTTTTTAACAAAAAAAAAAAAAGTAAAAATTTCTATTTTTACATATTTTTCTTAAAACTTGTGCCCGGTCAAATGAGCATATAATTGAACGACGGGGGGAGTATTTTTTATACTTTAATTTAAAATCTTTAAATATAATTAATAAAATATAAAATAAATTATAAAAGTTATATAGAGAAATACTATTATATTAATAGTACGTTTTTTTTAGTAATTTTAACACTTTAAAAGCACTTTCAACTCTTTAACGTCCAAAGAGTTTTTTTACAAAAAGCTGCTTTTATAATAATTTATTCAAATACAAAATCAAACTGTTTCTGCTTTTG